AACCAGTTTGTAACGTTAGTCATATTTTGTGTACACGCTAGGGTTGCGAGATGGTCGGGATTGGTATGAATTGTGTCGACTTTTCGGAGGATGTCCAGAGCCCTGAAAAAGATGGAAATGTCCCATTAAATTATTCAAATTAATAAAATCATTAAATCAACCAATCTATCTGTCGATAGCGGCTGTAACAACCTTGAACTGATTCCATTATCTTTTCTTTTTAATCATCAATATTTTTGCGAGGCGAAAGATGAATGTATATAGGCAAAAGATGATGAATGTTCCGAGTAATTCTGATTTTATGAAATTTTGCCCAGATATTTTATTCTTCCTATCTGGCAACCCTAGTACGCGCCCTCGCAATGCAGATAAACTAGAAGACTAGAGTATTTAAGCACTTTTTTCCGTTATGGTTTCGAGCTATAGCGATAGATAGTAGCTCCAAGATATTTTATATACATTTGTAATCTTAATTTCGCCGACTGAGTGGTAAATGTATGCTTTATATTAGCGCGTTAATGTATGGAGATTTATAGTTCTTAGTAGTTACGCTAGGGGCATTATGTCGGATTCTATAATAAAAAGTTAACGCGCTCACAATCGACGGTGAACGTTAACGTCATAAAAACCTACACTAAACGCCGTGAAGTGTAATAGAATACTAGAGCCTTATAACATATCAATATTACCCACTTACAAGTTGCAAGTTAGCGATCATTCAATGTAGGTGAATGAATACTTTGAATGTATACTTACATATTTTATTACCCGTTTTGTTATAGTTAAGTATCTATTAGTATTATTAAATCAAACGCGTCTCTATGACATTACTTGCACGCCTTTTTTAACGCAAGGGAATTGTAACCTTAAGGTATGGCTTTAGGTTGGTGTATGCACTAGGGCTATCACACGCAGCGCCGTCCTGAAAAAAGCAGGCTTAGTCGAAGCTGGTCCACCCTGTAAAATAAATCCAGAAAGGAGCCCGCCGGGTCCAGCCCCACAATCCACTATTTAAACCAATTTTATTCTAAGGATACGCCAATATTTGCCAAATAAAAATATCATCATCATCAGCCTTTTTACGTGCAGGGGTTGCAGGGGCTCAGGCCTTCCTTATGGATGGTTAAGGAGGATGGGCCACAAACTTCCACATTGGCCCAATGCGTATTGGAGGGTATTAACGACTTCAAATGCAGCCGGGACCAACGGCTTAACGTGCTTTCCGAAGCACGGAGTAGCTCGAGATAATATTTTTTTTGGTCCCCAATTCCGTGACCAACCTTTGCGAAAGATGCTTAACAACAACAATCGCGGGCCGCGGCTCTCATCCACAATGCCACCGAGCTACGCCAAATAATATTGTTTTTTGAATAAAAATTAAATATTTGAGCGATTGTTTACTAAAAACAGAAACACAAATTATCAATAATTGGCTGGATATAAAAAAACACACTCAGATGATTTTAAAATGTATACAAAACAGGTTTTGATATAATCTAAAATCCTTTAAAGATCTTTTTTTAAACTGCATTTTATCTGTCATTAAAGATGTATGAAATCAAGCGAACGCATCTTTACTCTCGATGCCTATTTGTTTGCGTATTTGAATGGAAACGTAAGCTGAGGTACAAGAGAGCCTTAAGCAATTTTCGTAATGGCCGGTCGTAGGATGGGTGACCAAAAATTTATTATCTCGTGCTCCTCCGTGTTTCGGAAGGCACGCTAAACCGTTGGTCCCGACATATCAGCAGTCGTTAACACCCACCAAATCCGCACTGGGGCCGCACGGTGGGTCATGACCATTAACAGGTGATGAAAGTTTCAAATATTGCTTGTAGGGGTAATCTACGGAAATACTGATTAAATTGCGTTCTTTCTTTCACCTACGGGAAACTACATCATACACGGTTGCTATAGTCTATAATTAAATTGGGCGAAGTCGCGGAAAACAGCTAGTGCATTATAATATAAAGCGCATAATGATAGTTCTTTATCGGTTCTAAATAATTGTAATCGTTACATTACAATTATTCTGCGTTTTACAATGTATACTTTATTTGGGTCAAATAACAACGGAAATGATGATAATATATAGCATTATGAATAACTTACTATTAATAAAGGAGGTCTGTTTATTAAATATGATATTTAATTTATCATCAGTTCTTAACCCTACCTAAATTGCTGACATATCGTGTATGGGCGTATTATATTCGATGAGACCATATAAAGGACGCTTCACTTATAAAATAATTTCATATTTAATTTTGTAATTCCTAATATAAAATATCAGTTCAAAAATAAATCAGGAAACTATTATGCTAGTGATTACCATAATGTAGTTAAATATAAATCTTTATATATATAAAATTTGTCGCCGAAATATATATACGATTGTACGCGCATAATTTCAAACTACAACAAATTGGATGATAGTTTTTATCTGTTATTTATTATCAGGACAATGTTTGTACAATCTAATACAAAAAGCCAAAATGACAGAAAAGTTTGACAGATCATTGGCGAAGGTTTTTTATTTCTTTACTACTAGCTTTTGCCCTCGACTTTGTCAGCGTGGTAAAGTTACTTTCGGCAGCATTTCTAAAACGAATATTTATTCATTGTATCGTGTAAAATATCTGAAATACAGTTTTATGATTTTATCTTCGACAATGACGACCTTCCGTACAAACTTTAATTCCTTATTTCAATCCTTTTATCACTATAAAAAGCAACCTATGTCATGTTTCAAGTCAAAGCTGTATAGTGTTTAGTGAGAACGTAATTGACATATTCACAGGTCTGCTTTCGAATGTATAATATAAGTATGGAATAATTAAACAATTGTCCTTGTCACTCATTATATCATATTATAAGAAGTACCAGACAGTTACCCAAACAAATAGAATAAGAAGAATATAGTCACATTTGTTTGATCGACTTTTAACTCATAGCTGTTAAAATTGAAATACAAAGTTTAAAATGTTAATATATAATGAATATGTCGTAGCTAACTGGGTAAAAGCTTGGTCCAATTAGGCAGCTAGCCCTAAAATAGAATAGCACCATTAATTTGTGCAGCTAAACGTCGATCAGCTGACTAACCATCACAACATCCTTCTACAGTACTTACTAGCTGCCCGGCGAACAACTTACCGAAATATTATGTTTCTCCAGTCACGACCGAAGAAATATAACCCGTCCGGTAAAATCAATAATAATTTTACATAAATAAATATATTGACTTGTTTAATGTATTGAAAGAAATATCCATCAAAGAAAATAAAAACCGGAAATGTTTTTATTTTATTGTCTGTTTACAATAGGACTATATAATCTATACCCTCTACTTGTCAGATACGACACAGGCCTCTGGCAACGCGGGCGACAGGCCCCATATCGTTCCAGGTGCATGGCACGCACTCCTCTGGTTAATAGACCAGGGACTACTTTCTTACAAACATTATTAGCTGGATTATTATGCTCTGAAACTACATGTGAATTAACAAACCAGTGTTTGACGTAGTCCATCTTAGAGCTTCTGATTGAGTTCGGTTTATAGTTCCAGCTCCACCAGCGCCCTCTGACGCTCAGCGGCTGCCTTCTCTCGCTCAGCGGCTACCGTATTATGTATTCTCCTGTTTGCAGCTAATTGTCGCGCTCTTACTGATGACGTGGAGCGGTTACTCCCCGTAGAATGTTATGCTGAGTGATTTGAACTTACCATAAATGAGCTAAATGACGGAGCGGCACTTTTGTTATGTATGATAAGATGATTCTTAGAAACTATGGGAACATTACCGTGAGGCTTAGGTGAAGACGACGGTATCTGGGAGCTGGTATGGTCGCTCCGCCTTGGTGAAGCTCTGTCACTGGGTAAAACGTTGTTGCCCGAATCTGGATTTGCCAATACATTTTTATTTACAAATATGTGTGCTCTAGTTAACATGGGCATGGCAAAAAAATCAGCACTTTTAATACCAAATCTAACACACGAAGACACGCACTAGGTTTTGTAATTATTTATTGAATGATTTTTAACAACCTTTGATACATATTTTACTCAATATCATTAATCTTATGTATCACATCACTGAGAAACTTGCCCTACATAATATTTTCAGATGCAATTGGAACTAATTTCTATCGAGTGAAATTAATAGAGTTGTGTTTTGGTTACAAACCGCAAGATTAGTTATACTGATCTTTTAGAGATAAGATATCCACAAATTTTTTGGAGGTGATATGAGCTATAGCTTTCCCGTGAATTAGTACGATTCAAGTTCGTTTTTATCGATTCAGGTCTATTTAGCCCCTTAATATGCAATTTAAATATGGTTTTTGGTAATCATAGTCATGTTATATAATATGATATACTATAATCAAAGGCAGAAGCCGAGGAAGGCCACAACACATCTTTCACGATCAAGTCGATCGCGTCCTCTTAGAAGGTGGTGTCAGAAACCATAAAAATCGGCGAGTGTGTATGAAAAGGGTAATAAAAGCGGATGAGGCGAAAGATGTATGTAAGGACTGTACATTGTGGCGTTCCTTTCTCTTTGCCTATCCCGTCATAGATACTTAAGCGTGAATATATAGATAGAAAAACACGACGGCAAATATCGAAATAAAAAATAAAACAACTTTATGCTCCTAGTTCTATCATATCATTTTTTGCCTTTTAATGATCCCAATGCAATGGTGCAGAGGGTTTCCCCATGAAAAGAAACACAATGACCAACGGTGACGACCGTTGTTCGAAAAAGTTGCTTTACTATCGTTATCATAAGCGTAAGAAGCTAAACACTGCACCATTTGCTCAACTAATACATGTAAATAAAGATCACCCTGTTGTACTGTCCGGTTCTTTCCCGACCATAAACAAAATAAGTTGTATGTGCGTATTGTCTGTGACTGCAACAACATATAAGTAACATTTAGACTTAATTCAGTTTTAATTTGCTGAGCGTAAAAGTAGTCGGGTACATAGCGTAGTGATCATGTTGCTGCTACTGAATGTTTTTGTGTTCGGTGAGTTAAAATGTCTGCTAAATTGTTTACTACAATATCAGTTCTTTCTTTTTTTTTGTTTTATTTATCTTTCTGTGTTTTAATTTGGCGTGTGACTGATCCGATAAAGAAGAACGGGCAGACTATTCAGGATCACTCAGATCAATGTGGAGGTGCGGTTCCCTGATAACTCAGCTATTAATTATTTAGACATAATTAGCTAATAAAAGAAATTTTAATGCCCTTTAATATGCCGTGTCATACATACAAGAGAGAATATTTAATATGAAGAATTAGATTCGATTCCAGCCATAGGCATGAGCGGAAATTAATAGACTGGTGATGATGATGATGAGATAATTTATTAATCCTGAGCTTAATAAATTATCTTAGGTATTTTCATAAACAGCTTCATCGATTTATTTCTATTTTTTTACTTTCATATATTTTTTGTTATTTAATCGTAATATTCTTATAGCCGATAAAACAAATATATTTTAATAGTAATTATAAATGATCAAATTTGATTTAAAGCATTTCTCATTAAGAAAAATTTAATATGTCTTATTTGTATAATTCTCTAAAATCCTTATAATTAAAAAAAAATCCGAGTTCTTTCAGAATTAAAATACTTTTACTCAAAGACCTGGTTACTTAGAGTGAGCGTTAAATATTACAAGTTAACCAATATTAACCAAAGCTGAAATTATGTGATCGTTATGTTATAACATTGCTTGCATTACAATGCAATTTTAATATGGAATATAACTGATCTGGTTTTGGAGCTGGAAGACAACCATCAGACCTCTGTAAATAAAGGAAGCTCCTTCGTCGAGTTTGGGCTCATAATATGATTTGGTTTTACAAGATATCTGGTCCACGATAACATCCAACAAAGTTTATTAAAAATAAAAACAATTCTTTCCTATTACAGGTTTTGTCGTGGTGTCGGCTCGCGTTGAGTTCTACCGAAAGGATTACACTTACGTCCAGGAATATGATGCGTTTTACAAACTACATAGCGATGGAAATTTCAGTTCTTGGAACACAGCATTCTTGACCTGTGATGATGAAGGTAAGTCACATTAGTTGGGGATCGCGTAAAACATTCTCTTTTTCTGTGGAACCGGAAATTCTGAGTTTACCAGTACTAACAGCATCAGCGGAACGGTTCGCTGTTTTTGGAAAAGACTATCAGATACCACAGTATTTTCTCTACCGCAGAGGACCCCAGACACAGGGATCCCGAAGTGAAATTGTGTCTGGTGTCCTCCAGTCCAGACGCGTGGGTATTCCGAAACGGGTTTTATTAGGTACAAAGTACAAAACATTTTATTTAGTTCAGGGAAGCGATTTCATAGGAAAATTATACTTTATAATATATATTATATTTATCGAACAAACAAGAATTTTAATGTTGAATGAACTAAGAATAGTTAATATATTAGTTAGAAAGCTATTATTGTTAGCTATCAATAGTTTTTGATTTATTAAATTTCTCGTCTTATTGGTTAAAGTTATTTACTTAAGTTTAGACATTTTCTAAATAATTACTACTCTTTACTATAGATACAGACTATAATTAAGAAATTTAAAAAAAACTCAATAAATGCTGCTGTTTTATTTGATACACATTTCATCACTTATGTCCTTACCTTTCGTATTTTAGGTGCTAAATTATTTTATCCAGAAACCAAAGAAGAGTGGAAAGTAGCTATGAAATTTCAAAAACTTATGCCATCTGCATCTACCGGTACTAATGAAATATTTGTGGGAATTCACGACAAGTTTACATTAGGTGAATACGTTAATATTAACGGTAAGCCTAAAGGAGTTTGTTCTATACTTAAATTTTATGTTAATTTTCAAAGTGGGTGAAATTCTTATTTTCGCATAATATTTTTATTCCTTCCCTACTTTGGCATAATTTATTTTGTTGACATAATGATACTTTATCATGATTATTTTTAGCATACAGTTTATTTGGCATAACTTTCTTTTAGAAGATAAGTATAATTATCGATACTGCCATACTTAAATATATAAAGATTTTAAAATGTTTGTTTGATTATTTGACTGAAGGCGCTATTCTCAGGAACTATTGGTTCAAATTGTGAAATTATTTTTATTTTAAACTGTTGAACAATCAATTTCAGGTCAACCAATAAATATAAGTCTAAAAAATAAGGATGAAACTTCAGAACATTGCGTCACTATGGATATAGGTACTGGAGCTTACAAGCTCGGTAAATGTTATATGCATTCCGGCTTTCGACCATTTATTTGCAAGAAAGTTGAAGATGTCACTTGTCCCACAATTGATAAAGGTATTATGACAATTGCCTTACTTTATCTTTACCACAGATACACACAAATTTCTATACTATAAAATATTATAAAGAGGAATGATTTGATTGTTTGCTTGTTTGTAAAAAAAAGGCTCCGAAACTACTGAACCGATTATAAAATTCTTTCACATACGGAAGCTACATCATATTCGGTGAACGTAGGCTATATTTTGACTTTCAATTTCTTAAGCTTCTATTGTCTAAACAGTATAGCAAAAGTTAAGTACTTAAGTACCCAACTAAACTATTTACATTTCTCTTAATTGAATTGCCGTTTGAATTACATATCAATTTAAAAATTTTCGACTTGAGAAGCGATTTAAAGCTCATTTTATTCTTAAAATTAATAACCATCCGAATTGGGCTATATGGCTTGTTCTTCAGCTCAGCAGTGGGGATATTAAGAAGCTGTTGATTATATGTCAGTAAAACTAAAATTTCAATAGAAATCCACCTAATTCTAACTAGATGCTTCATGGTTCATTGCAGGTTACAAATACGTTAAAGAGACCAAAAAGTGTTACAAGATAAACACGAATCCCAAAACATGGTCGAAAGCTATGGAGACATGTTTTATGGAGGGAGGATTGTTGGTTGTCATTGAAAGTGACATAGAATCAGCATTAATTCGCAACTTATTAAACAGGAATACACAATATCACGCAGGATTCAAAAAGATGTTATATTCAAATTATTTTTATACTGTAAAAGGTACTAATCCTAGCTAATGTTCGACTTGAAATCCTTTTGTTGCTGTTTATGAATATATAGTATAAAAACTTTTTAAAACAAATTCGCTCCCCGCTGTCTGTACGATGTGATCTTTTAAACTACCCACACAATGGATATTAATGCGGTTTTCATAAATATACAGAGTGATTCAAGTGAAAAGTTAATATGTGTAATACAGGACTATATAGATGAAGCCGCTAACAGAAAGCTAAAAATTTAAAAGTTGTTGTGTGCGACGCTCAATGTTAATTATCCATAGGTCGTTTCTTGAGTTCACTGTAGTAATTATTAAATAAAAACATCGCACTAAGTAAACTTAAGAGAAAATTTATTTTTACACACTTTGTGTTATATTAATTTGTCTATTTATAATTACTTAATATTTAGCCGTAACTATAGCCTACACGCGTGTCAAAATCAAAGAAGTTCGAGAAGACCGCCAAAACGGCAAAACTTTTTAAATCGTTTTTTTTTGCTACGCAAAGGAATTTGTTTTCATTCTACATTGAACAAACGTGACATTCAGTCTTTAGATTACGTTTTATTAATTATTTTCTTTTTCAGACCAGTAGCCTTAATGTCTAACTTTAAATAAATTAGACATTAAGGTTACTGGAACCCTTTTAAACGTATAGCGGTTGTGATAGTGATTTATGGATCTTTTAAAGTCATAATCGCTTTCAGAACGAATGATGATTTGAACGATATAAATGTCATAGATAATTCATTCCTTTTGACATTTCCAAAAAGTTTTAAAAGACATTCGTAACTATCAATTTGCTAAGACAATTCCAATTATCAACAAATAAATTTTAGCGTACATTCAATATCTACCAAAAAAACGATGCGATCTTAGAATTAGATTTTAAAATTAGATAATAAGGCCACTGGTTTCTTGTTGCAACATTAGTAAATTGAATAAATATTACTTTACGCATAAAAATATCTTACTCGTATAAGTATTATTACAATAAATTATCATTTAAAAACATATTTATATTATCGACAGGCTACAAACTTGAAGACGGCGGCTACAAACTTGAAGACGGCGGCTACAATACTTGGAGAAACAATGACGAGTTGAAATATGATTGTGGTAATATTATGGACAATGGTAACAATATATATTTAGGAGCACATTCTTGTGACACTGAGATCAAACCTTTCGTTTGTGAAATGTCGGTTGAAAAGTAACACTTGTGTGGTATACTTGTATACAATACTTGTGTGGATCGTAAAAGATTAGATATTTGAACAATATTATAAGGATCTTGAGTAGATAGATATCGAAGTAAGAATTGAGTGTTTTATACAAATATGTAATACTAAATTGTATTTCCAAATAAATGTATCGTATACAGTCAGTTTTTGTTTTTCACCCATTTTGTAGCTAGGTAGGTAATTCATTATTTTGTATACAAGTATCAAATCAATGTTAAATATATGCTATGCTATATATATGCTACTAGCTTTCGCCAGCGGCTTCACCCGCGTGGACCCTAGGGAAATGTTTAGTGGGATAAAACATTGCCCTAGGGTCCTATTATCTAAGTTAGCTAACACCCTATCTGTATACCAAATTTCATCAAAATCCGTTCAGTAGTTTCGGTGTGATAGACGTACAAACAGCCAATCATCTAAACATCCAAACAAAGAAACTTTTACATTTATAATATTAATAGGATATATATAGGCTATGGATCGATACTAATGCTGGGAGAGCAACATTAGAAATTTTGCGTAAACCTAGACTTCCGAAGCGTATAGGAAGGGAAACCTGGTCTCAAATTTTGTCACGTATTTTAACACTCAGTATAGTGGAAACAATTTATATTATTGCATTATACATTATAAGTGTAAGGTTTGTGTTTCCAAAAAGGTGCTGAACGTAAAACATAGGTTAATTGAGGAATAAAACAGACAATATCGTATAATTATTTCTAAAGTCATTTGATTATTAATCATCAATAATTGTTCAGCAAATGACTTTAATTTTATTAATTTTTGTTGAGCGAATTGATAGAAATATTCTTCACAAATGGGAGAGCCTCATAGTAAAAGGGACTGTTTACATATCATTCTAGTTTCTGAAGCTAAAGCATTGAATTTTGTAATTATAGATTCTTTTTAATTGACTGTGGTGGTTATATCGAGCTCCCATTTCCTAAAATTAAGTTCTACGCGTGGTTATTAATGACGGCAGATGCAGCCGGGACTAACGGCTTAACGTGCCTACCGAAGTACGGAGGAGTTCAAAATAATGAATTTTTGGTCACCCATCCTATGACAGGCCATTGTGAAAGTTGCTTAACAGCCATATCACAGCCACTGTGAGATCGAGCTCCTCATTTATCAGATTATAAGGCATCAATATAAAAACCAATTTCGTTACAGCCTATTCGCATCGTCTCGTTCGGTAGGGCTGTATCGAGGTCTATATTAATAAAAATAAATAAATCTCATCACATATCCGTTTCATGCCAAAACATTTTATTTAGTACTGCCATTTCGCACCGTTTTGGATATATTTTATGACGCTCACTCAAATCCCTAATGTTATTCGATGGTTTTCAATTTCCTCTACGATATAGGCTTTGCGTGTTTTGCTCGTTTATTATGCGGTGCCAATAAATATTTGGAATAAACAAAATATAGACATGATCGTCGTACGGTTTTTAGGGTTCCATACTCAAAGGGTACGTGGTAATGCTTACTAAGACTTCGCAGTCCGTCCGTCTGTCACCAGGCAGTATCTCATAAACTCGAACTAAATAAAATAAATATATTCTAGAGGGGCCAACAAACGTGATTTTTTGTGTTTTCTTATGGATAATAGCTGTTGTCCATAGACTTCGCCTGCAGACATTATGAAGTAACTCTGTAGGCGAAAGAAATTTTAAATCAGTCCAATAGTTTCGGAGCCTATTCAATGCAAATAAGCAAATAATCAAATATGTCCTTTTTATAATATTACCACTATCTGTATCAGGTGGCTTCACGGAGGGCGCTGTGTGCATACACTTTTATATCAGTGTCTGTTTCATATATGGAACATCCAACACTGAGCTGTATACCTCTTGAGCTACTGCTTCACACTCTAGTTCGGTGATATAAATCGTTGTCTTTTGTAATTTTAATATTTCTATACACCAACAAAGTATTTTATAACAACTTATAATGTAGTGATAGTAGTGGTTCAATAAAGCATTTATCTATCTATCTATCATCATCATTAACTTATCCGCGTCCTCACTGCTGAGGCATATCCTTGCCCAGTAAATAGATCCAAATAAGAAAAATTTACCGGCGTTTCTATGGATAACGCGCGTGTCTTCATATAATAGTCTTAGTTGCTCTTCTTTCTATTTTAGTGTGCTGTAGAAAAGATACGCCTTGTAAAATATACAAACAAATATTTTCTTTGAAATAATAGTTCTTATATTGAAGTCGTTTAATAATAACGCCGTAATTTTACTTGGATCTAGATATTTGAGTACTGTGCTTATTCTGGACTCTTAGATAAGGGCTTTCATATTATTTCATATTTTGCTATGCTAAGATAGACTACGCGAACTCAGTGTATTAATTGGTCTTACATAACGACTGCAGATGTTGCCAATAGTGCAATCAGTAGCACGAATAGCCTGAGACAATACTATAATATAAAATTATCCAGCCATCTTGCAATCATTGTTTTTGTGAAAGTTGCTAAAAATTAGTAGACCGAAAGCGATAGTTACCACCAGGCTATTGTTGTACCCACTGCTGGGGCACAGGTCTTCGCTGTGCATTTAAATGAATAAGAAGAATGGGCCATGACGCACCACGCGGTCCCAGTGCGAATTGGTGAGTGTTATGAACTGCAACTGCAGCAGGGAACAACGGCTTATCGGGCCTTCTGAAGCACGGAGGATAGCGGGCGCGCAAGCTGCTGCGCCATCAGGATTATCGATAAAAAATATAGTTACCTATAAAACGTATCAAATAAAAAGGTAAATTATTACTTAAGCAATGCCTTTGCTCAAAGATAAAAGAGGTAGTTAGCTCATTTGACTACAGTTAACGAAAAATTCCTTGAATAGCTTTCCGGTAGTAAGAAGGGAAATAGAATCGACTTATATATTAAAATCTAATGAAAATCTAACACTATAGTCGAGTAGGAGTTGCTGAGGAAATACTTATTTTACTTCAGGGTTGCGACAGTCTAATTCTCTAACCATAGATACGACTTCTTAGCGATATTATGACTACTGGCTATAAGAGGAAAGCCAATCGTTCAAAAAAATTTTTTTTTGTTTTAATGTAGAATAAAAATTTATATTCTCTCCTTCATACGAATTTTATCAAAATCAATCGATGTAGGAACCTATCTAATAATTTTATTTAGGATACATTTCGAATAGTTTTAAGATGACGAGTCCTCAAAATAGGTAGATAAGATAAGATCTTTATTTGCCAGAACACAAGTCATTGAGGTCACAAACAATCAGACAAGTACAGTATTCTGCCTGCGGACAGGCGTGCAAATATTGTTATTATATTATTAACTTATTACATTTCTTATTATCATATTATATAATTAACATCTCATAAAATTACAAATTATTATTATATATTATTGTTCCGTAACGAAACAGATGATTGATAATTAGCTATACAAAGACAACACAACTGTGGGTAAATTTTTTATTGTCTATGGGCAAGGCGATTAGCTGTCTTCGTTCCAAATCCCCACCCTTAATCCTTGGGTGACGGTTTTTACTGTGAATTCAAATTGCTAACTGCGCGCAATTTTGATTGAGCTTGGTGAATTGTTCGTTATCGAGAATGAGCACATTTCGGAAGAACGGTGAATCAGTGCCTATGAACTATATATCGTGTATGATATCTTCGCTGGTAACCGCGTCGACGCACCCCGGTCCAGAACCCAGCCCTCGGAACCCGTGGCGGTAAAGGATCGCTTGCGATGAGTCGCCAACCCCTGCTTAATATCGTACAATTATCATTATGTAATGGATTTTTTTTAAAGCTAAAAAGTCTTTAACGCTATAAAAGCAGTGTTCTAGAAGCCACTTTGTCAGTTTTAATTTAAATTGATTCATGTTTAACAGTTTCATGTCATCCTATTAATATTATATATATTATATATGTCATCCTATTAATATGGCAAATCCTATTAATATTATAAATTGTTATATAAAATTATGCACATATTGTAAATATTATTTTTATAGATGTTTTTAAGACAAGGTAGTTTTGTTTGTCTAAATCTGACTTTTTTAATTATATTCTTATTAAATTAACTTAATATAGATTAAAAGTAAAAGGTATCTACCTATTTGAGACTACTACAACACCCAAAACCATTGATTAAATTATGTCATCTCCTCCTCCTTAGTAGGTAGGTACATACATACAGATAATAGGTATAATAAGTACTTTAGTAATATTATAGTTGCTAATACTAAAAGGTATAACTATGAAATCACAAATTAAATATGAAAATTATTATTTCTTTAATGCTTATATTAAATAATTATTTTCATTCAGTGTGATATTACTATATTTCTTTAATTTTTTTTACAGAATTAGGATCTTTGCGACTCATAAAATTTGCCGCCTGTCCAGCCAGTACATTTACTTTTGTTGCGTATTTGTGTTGTATAACAAATAGGTTATATACCTACTGAACAAAATTTCAACAAGTTATTTTAAGTGCCATCTATCAACTACATAACTCATTAGATAATGTTCGTAACACCGCTTATAACTAAGCACTTTACTGAATGCTTTTTATAATGCTTTTCTTTCTAAAGCTTATCTTTGTTTTGCCAACGATCAACAGATGGCGCCACTTTCTGCGTTTTGTTATATTTTATGCAGCAGATTATGCAGAAAAAGGACTATCTATGCTATGTTTTCAATCGCTGTTTATTAGTTGTCAGTCATAGTAATATATTGTAATCTTTGGTAGTAATTTTGTTGCTCCAACAGACTCAAATTAGTTTTGTCATATCTTGCTATGCTTTTTATATTTTGTAATGAGGAAGTATTAAAAAAAACGAAAGCACTAAAAAGCACCTTCACTAGATGGCGACACTAGCAACAGTTGATTTTTGCAGGAAACGAATGGAACAAAGACAATCATTTCCGTTCCTTTTACTAAAATATTAAAAAACTGAAATTTGAAAAGT